AACTTTATGACCATATAAAACAGCACGATCGGCTATTTTCTCCTTTTCAAAATTTTCAAAGAAAAGATCGAATTTGTCTTTATCATTTCCTTTCTTCAGAGTTTTATCCAACTTGTCGTTAAACATGTTAAACACATCAACAATGGCTGATGTAAATTTAACGTTTAAATCAGTAAAACCTTCTTCGTGAATTTTGCATAAATCAGCTAAATATGCTAGCAATTTTTTGTTCTTTTTGTAAGGTATTTGGAACTGTTTACCCTTTTTACATATATTGATGTTTGTCAAAAATGTAGCAAATTCATTTTCCTTCAATGCTTCTAAATGCTCATTCAATTTCTTAAAAAATTTTTGATTTAAAGATTTACTCCGAATTTTAGATAAAGATTTCGTTGTGATACTAAAATATAGACGTGTTTAATATAGGGTTGTTAGCAATCCGGAATGGGCCAAGATGATTTAAAAGTCGGATCTGCCGGATCTTATTTATGTTTTGGAAAAGTCCGTGTATATGATTTGGTAGTTAGAAGAGTTGTTGACTGTCATGTCCGATGTTCATGCTGTGGAAAAATTGTGGATGGGAGATGGAATTGAACCATAATGGAATGAGCCCAGACCGATGTGCCACCATCCAACCCAATGCCGGGTTATTTATTTTTATTTATGTTCTTTCTGCAAGTGCGGACACAACATTGACAATTTTTAAATTTTGGAAACATATGAATGCTCAACATTGTTTAATTTGTGTCTAAAGCAAGGTCGTCCGACTATCTCAATTAACTGAAACCAAGCAACTTTTTCGGTCAAGCCTAACTGTAAAAACCTACAAAGTCGTCAGTTTTGGTTAAATATTGGTTTCTGTAATAGACGGTTTTGTGTTACGCATTTTTTCATCCTTCTAGATTAAAATGAGGAAAGAAATGCTTTTTCTATATTGTGGATGTTTTCAGAGTTAATACATATATTGAGCACGAATATGAGTTTATATTATATTTATTTCGCATCCTGGACATAAATCCATTTTCAAAAAAATTAGTCTAATTTCAAAATTCAAGTCGAATTCGTTTCTTGAACTATTACCTCGGTTTCTTTTAGTGGGAATTTTTTAAAAATTTCTCTTTTTCAAAAATTTCCAGTTTTCTTGGTTTCAAAAGCGGTTAATTCAAAAGCGGCAAAAAGCGGTTAATTTTTGGCTAAAAAGAATCAAAATTTCTCTAAACAGAACCTCAAACTTTTCCTTCATTGTCTTCGAAAACTTCTTTTTTGAATCGGTTTTTATCATCAGGTATTGTTGATTGAAATAATCTACAAACATTTCAAAATTTAATTTATTTTTAAAGAATGTTGGGATTTTCTCGTCTAATTTATTTATCTCTTTAATTTCAGCAATATACTTTGGTATTTTGCCAATATCAGTTAGAATTTCAATAGCAGGAAGTATTTCTTTCGTAAATTTCTCCAAATTTCCAGCTTCTTCTGCTTCCTCTTTTAACTCTCCAATCTTTTTTTTTAATATTATTCTCAGCATGTATCTTCAAGATCTCTTGAGCCTTATCTCCAACTATGTCCTCCACTTTTTCCAATTTTTGATAGCCATCATGGCTTCTTCCTAAATGAAGATGAACAGCATTAACCGACAAATTTGCACCGAAAATAATTATCAAAATTAAAAAACAATAAAAGTTTAATAATTTCAAATAATTTTTAAATCGCATTTTCATCTGTATAAATTAATTTAAAAATTGTTATTAAATAGTTATTTTATAAATTTGGAGTAATTTATAAAGTATCGTAAAAGAAACGGATTTTTAGCTTATTTTCTATTTTTTCCCTATCTCCCAATGTTTAAGAAGCAATAATCCAAAGTATTATTTTTCAGGGCAAGGATAAATATGGATGCGAGAGCGGCTTGAGAGACCTTCTATATACGACCGGATTTGACATATCCGACCATATCCTATTTACCAGTGTATATCTCAGAAATTTCAAATTTTTTTAAAAAACGCTGAAACATGTCAAACGAGATACGAATTAAGCTTTCGAATGGTATATAGAAGATGCATATCCATGAAGTATTCACCGAGAAACATGCTCAACGGGCATTTTTTATGGACCACCCTAATAATATAAACCGTGAATAATACCTTAGTTTAAGGAGTATTTTAAAATTGCTTAGTGCCTGGATGCGAGAGCGGCTTGAGAGACCTTCTATATACGAGACACTCAATCCTAGTTAAATTTTAAAGCTAGACGCATTTAATTAATTTTAAAATGAAGAAAGCCTGTAGTCTCATTCTGTTTTATATTGACAAAAAAGCGCACGCCTCTAGAATTGTCTCCGCCAAAAATCTTTGTCCATCTTTTTTTAATTCTATTTCTCTATTAAAAAATTTAACCCAGGTAGCGAGAGTAAATTCCAACACTCCCCTTCATTGTTATAGAAAGGAAGTGCTAGGGCTAAGAAAAATTTAAATGTCTGGTGAGCTATAGGATACGCGTGTGGCGAGCAAAAGACGTCTAGCGATTCGATTCAGACTGTCTCACGTTTTTGGACTGTTTGACAGGAATTTTGAGGTTTTTTTCAACTCTTGTTAAGACAAAAATTAAAATTAATTTCAGATATTCAGCAAAAATCTCCGAAAATAAATGTTTACCGAACTTATGTAACTACTCATATTCATGTTGTGTAGGGGTTGTAAAAAACGTCCGGATTTCGTGTTTAAAATCTGCGCGAGTTTTGTTCGGCAAATGGATTATCTCGGCACCTTTTTTTATTAATCGTTAATTTCGATTCAGCCTAACACTAGTTCCGATTTATGCCGAAGACTAGTTACGGTCTTTTCTTTTACCAAATCTAAATTGAGCATAAACTTAAGTTTGCCAAACACTTTAAAAACTGACTAAGATTGTCTCATGACATTAAGTCATATGCATTTAAAGTCAAATGCCTTTAAAGTCATATGCTTTTAAATAGAGTGCATTCACAAGGTTTTATTGGCAAACAAGCTCGTCTCTCGACAAATTGGCAGACAGGGGAAAAAATTTTATATTGTTTAAATTATTAAGTAAATTAATTAAATAAAATATCCTCAGAAATTTTTATTTAAAAATTAATAAAACCGGCAACTAGTTTGAAAACCTGTTAGTTATATTATTAAAGTCTATCAAATTTTCTATCAAATTTTGTAAGGCAATTGATATCAAAATTTTAAAGTTAAAACCTTCACGGATTGATCTAGATAGGAGTATCGCCTAGCTAGTTCTTCATCTCAGATTTTACAACACTTTTATTTCCAAAAATAAGGAAATATGAAGAAATTTGAAGTTAATATATTAATATTTTAAGATTTTTACTTAATTGCCGTAAATGCTCTAATATAAGCCCGGCTCTAATAGAAGCCCATCCCTAATATAAGCCCACCTGAGAAGGCCTATCAAAAAATATAAGCACTGTTTCTAAGGTTATTTTAAAGGGGGTAATTATATTTTGAGGGGATAATTATTTCTTCAATATCTGGCTGTAGGAGGTAATCAGTGTGTAATTATCTGAGTAAAACTTTAAGTTTGTTTTATCTAATGAAGTCAAAAAAAACTTTCCTTCTATGTTTAATTAATTAATTATTTAATTAAATCAATATTAAAATTTCTCTATTCAAAGTCAAACTCAATTTTTGTTAACCATGCGGGCGTTTTTGGCATTTACTCCTTGAAAATGCACTTTAGTAATTTTTCATTTAAAAATTTAACCCAGGTAGCGAGAGTAAATTCAAACCTCCCCTTCACTGTTATAGAAAGGGAGTGGTAGGGCTAAGAAAAATTTAAATGTCTGGTGAGCTATAGGATACGCGTGTGGCGAGGACGTCTAGCGATTCAATTCAGTCTATCTTACGACGTTTGACAGGAATTTTGACGAGTTTTTTTTGTCAATTTCTGTTAAGATAAAAATTAAAAGTTATCTCGGATATTAAATTTTTACCCGAACTCATATTCAATGTTGTGTAGGGGTAGTGAAAACGTTGGATTTAGTGTTTAAAATTTTCTCGCTTAGTGTTTTGTAAATTGATTATTTCGGCACTTTTAGTACCAAACGTTAATTTAGTTTTTTCGCGGTAGTACCGATTGTAAAATACTTTCCTCTTTCCTAGGAAAACTATTTCACCTTCCTATTTATTTAATAGGGAATTAAAATATCTGAGAATTAATTACAAATATATTGTCAAAAATGGAAAGTGACTCACTGAGTCACTGCAAAAATAATAAACAAAATTCCACAAAAATATAAAAAATATCAAAAAATATTTTTAATCTTTCATCTTCAATTTCGTCATCGACACCGATTCATGCCGAATACAAGTTACGAAAAATTCGAGAATTTATAGTGAAAATAATTTAAAATATAGGGATTTAAGGAAAAATCAAAGCATGCTGAAATTTTTAATTAATTATTTAATTAATTTAATATAAAAATTAATTCAAAGTCACTCTCTTTTGTAAAATCATGCGGGCATTTTGCCCTTTTCCCTCATCCTTTTTATTCAAAAGCATTCGAATTTATATTTATGACCAAAGATTGGACATTTGATTAGACACATGCTCGACAGCCCCATCTTGCCCTATTAATTTACTCCTCGAATTTTTATCTCTCCCAGTCCTGACTACTCTTAAGGCTGAGACAGACAGACTAGGAGATGTCCTAAATGCTTCGATTTCATACACAGCTGCCTTTTTCGAGTGTGGCCAACATTCGAGGCATTTTCTGGCTTTATTTTTATATAGGCTGTCTGCTCCTGTCGGGCAACATTAGTAAACTCGACTCAGTCCTTCCAATAGTTAAGTTAAAGGTGAATTGAGAAAAGATAATTTTTTTAATTTTAAGGCGGAAACCTGAAAATATTTCTTACAATCTGCCAGAAGAAATAACAATTGTCGGAAGAAGATCTCCTAATTTTTAAATTGATAAAAATAAAAAATAATTTTAAATTTAGACAAAATTGGCCAGAATGCTACAATACTTTTGGCATTTTTTCGTTCTTTATTCTTTTTTAATCTTATTTACTACTTTTGTGGAGATTTCTTCGGTTAATGCTAGTGGAGGTATTAATCCTGAATCGCCTAAAGGAGAAGGATCAGTTGTTGACCATGAAAAGCTAAAAAATGTAAAAGATCGAGCTGAAAACGGGGAAGCTGAAAATTATAATAAAAATTTGATTAAAAATCTTGAGCCATTGATAAAGGAAATGGTAGCTAAGATAGTAGAAATTGGAAATGAAGAAGAATTTGAAGGAATTATACTTCCTTTTATTAAAACTATAACAGATATAGACAATATACAAGCATGTTTTAACAAAGTTATAGAAATAAAAATGTTTGATAAAAGTATTCTTCAATTCTTTAAAAATGCTTCAACATTTGAAAGATTTGTAGAGTATTTCAACAAACGTTATGAAGTCATAAAAAATTCAAAAAAGACGTCGAAAACGCTCAAAAATAATTTAGAGGTTTGTCTATGATATAAGAAAGAAGCGAAAAGTTTAAAATTAAAAGAAATTTTTCTAGGAGGAATCATTCCGTAATGATTAACTATAACACATAAATTTTATAAAATTTAATAAGTGTTAAGTCCGAGCTTTAATATAGACACACTAAAAATATTACGATCCAGAATTACAAACGAAATTTCTATATTATATGAGATAGCATTGTAAATAACTTAATTCTTCGTTGAGCTCCTTGATTACTTCTAATAAGGTATGGAATAGCGCTGAGCTCGACATATTTTCATTTATATTGTCATTGTAAAAATTTATAAGACAACTTCACGACTTATAATGTTGATTCAAAATTTGAAATTTCCAATGACAAAATTTTTTAAGAAATTGCGAGATTATTTATTTGAATTGAAAGAGATGGAATTTACAAATCTTTTGGACAAATTGGAAATGTGTGATAAGGAAAGCAATAAAAGTATCCACAAAATTTTTGAGAATAACGAAGCTTTAAAAGAATATTCGGGGAAGATTTGCAGCATTGTGTTTAACTATTTAAAGATACCATTTAAAATAAAAGCTGAAAAGATTTTTGGTAAAAATTTGAGTGAGAGCTTGTATGATGATCATGAAAATAATAACCAATCGGATTTGTATAAATCGAAGACGATTAAGGAGGAAAAAGAGGTGGAACTATTTTTTGAGAGATTTGAGATGGAAAAGAACCACTTTATTAATCGTTTTAATTTTAAAGCAAGTAAATTATTAAAAACAATTGGCGAAAAGTTGAATTTAAACAAGCACAAGAATTATCATAAATTGGATAAAAAATACAATTAGAACAAATATAAAACCGAAAACAAAACTATGTGACATTTTATGTAATGTGATGAATGCTTGAAATGCATTCTTCTTAATGCATTTCAAGCTATAATTTTTTAAATTGTACGCTTTTACTATTGCGGATATAAAATTTAAAAAAAAATATTGAAGTAATTTACTCCAAGCTGCCGATTCCACTGTGTTCTGGAAAAATCTTTTTTTAAATGTTTTGTGTGGAAAAAACGAAAATCAAATAATTTTTCAAATTAAAAAATGCCAAATGCAAAATTTTGTAAGAACATGCAATACAAAAGAAAATAAATTGCTAAAGTGCTTTATTAAGAATAGGGTCCTAAGGTGCTCGGACGCATGCAATAAGATCATTTTTGAGCTTCAACCATCATGACATATCTATGTTTTTACCAGTTTTGCTTTTCAAATATTAAATGATTTTAAAAAATTCTCTTTTATCAATAAGGATGTCAATAAATTAAAATTATCGGTCATCATTTGGCTGACACCCCTCATTTTTTTTAAGGTTTCCCTGCTTATTTTGATCTTTTTTGCGTAGAAGCTAGGTCGAATGAAATAGGTTAGTTTTGATGATTATTATAAAATTATGAGCTTAATCCTTGCTTGTAAAAGGAATAAAACGACTTGTCATAACTTCGTTCATACGTGTCAGTTTAGTTGATTTTAGTCTTTCTACTCAGCTTGAAGAGCTTTGGAATGATAGATAATTTGGCTCTGATAGATAATATGGGCGTAAAATGGGAGTCAGCCAAAGTTTTTACAACTTATCTTTAAAAAAACATTTTTCATATTCTTTCACATATTTTTACGGATAAAATTTCTACATAATGATACAGCATTTGCAACATTCATCTTCTTCCTTGGTTTCCTTTGTTTCCACTTCTTCCTTTTCCTCATCAATTGTTTCCATATCAACCCGTTCGGTTCTAGCGCCTTGGCGACGGTTCCTTCTAGATCTTCGACGATACCCATGTGGGCCTGATCGGATATCTTCCTCTCCCTTAAATTTAGCACTATAATTATAAACATGTTTTGATAAAAACGCTAAAATTTTAAATGAAAATTTTTAAATTTTTGATAAACAATTACATCACCTCCATCATATCCACCGTTATCTCCTACAGCCTGTTCATCATCATCAGAGTCGGAAAGATTTTCAGCTTGTATTTCGCCAAGTTCAATGTCCCTTTCAGCTGGTACCATTGACAAGGCGAAGTTCACGCCAAGAATTATCAACAAAGTTGTTATCAACAAAAATTAATTAAATTAAAAATAAAAAAATTATTAAATTTATTAGAATTAATGAATCCTTAACGCTGCCAGCAATTTAAATTACCCCCTCTCCTCTCATTCACTCGCCTCTCTCTCTCTACACCTTAAGGGATAGCGAAAATGAGGGAGAAAGAGACTTTATTTTATTGACGAATCCTCTCCATATCGCTGCCAGCAATTTAAATTACCCCCCCCCCCCTCCTCTCTCTCTCTCTCCTTCACTCCCCTCCCTCTCTCCATCTTGGTAAGGGATAGCAAAATGAGGGAGAAAGAGACTTTATTTTATTGACGAATCCTCTCCATATCGCTGCCAGCAATCTAAATTACCCCCCCCCTCCCCTCTCTCCTTCACTCCCCTCCCTCTCTCTACCTCCTTAAGAGATTTAAGAGAGAGAATATAATGCGAGATTATTCAAGGTTAAAGATGGAGAGATATTGATTTAAGTTTTAAGGGTTTCTTATCGTAAAATTACAAACACGTTTACAGTTTTTTCCTTTCAACAACATCTAAAATTTCTTTTCAACAACATCAAAAATTTCAAATAGTTTTTTAAAGGTCCCGTAAATGACACAAAATACGTAATTTCTGTTACGAATAAATTGTTGATGAAGCTGAAAAGTGTATTGTTCGATATACAAACAGAGATAGGGTTGAGAAAACAGGAGCCAATATTATGTAAAAGTGGAAAGATATAGAGTTTTAAGTTATGCGCCGTTTGTTTGATTTCTCCTTCAACTAATACAAAGGATTATTCTGCGGCTAACTGCGAGCAAGAATCCTATATTGACGGACTGGTGTTTTATCATTACAACATTTGCCTCCTACATAGGATCCCTTGATTTTCGTGAATGTATAAAAAATAAATAAAACCATTATCTACGGGCATCATTAAGTGTTGTCCGACAACTGGATCTTCCGGTAGAATTCATTCACTGTTCAAAAGACAACATCCTACTTTTGAAGGTATTACTGACAGCCGGCAACTTAAACCTTTAAATACTTTTTTAAGTTAAATCCTTTTTAATTTTTTCTATAAGGGTAATGGATATACTTAATCTTTTAATGCTTTAACCAAACCAAAAAGAATAATTAGATAATATTTACATAATTTTAATTATTAAAATCTAAATATATTTTAATTTTAAAAAATATGATTAAAGTACTTTTTTCTCATGCAATTATGTTTGTTTATATTTAATTATTGGGAAATATGATCGATGAGTTCAACACAATGGTTATCTATTTCTCTATATAATTTAGAATGTGTTTCTCTACATAAAAATTATGGGAAAAGAGACATGTGTCTGTTGTTTTTACCATTTTTCAAATACTTTTGAGGAAAAGATTATTGACCCACACAACTCCTAGCATTTTTTTAATTAAACAAACTTTCATATTTTTTATTTCTTCATCACTTTTTCATTTAATTATATTTTTAGTATTAAATATTTTTTTGATTATAAATTATAATTTTTAAGAATGTTTAAATCAACTAATAAAAAAAACGAAAATCTGATAAATACATATCACCTACTCCATCTCCTTGTTTAATTCAATCCTCACAGCGGAATAATTTTAATTAAACTGTCAACCACACAACTCCGAGACTCCCCTCAATTAGCTATAATTGAAAACGTAGAAAATGGTGAGATTCAACAAGAACAAATGATGAGATTCAACAAGAAAAATTATAGTTTACAGACAAAATGTAATTTTGTATGTAAATTTGTAAATAGCTTCCGTTTACACATAAAATGACGTGGAGCCGACTACCAACTGGGAGCCGACTCCAACATAATCAAGTCATTTTATTATGATATTTAGTATTTTTCATGAATAATAAAATAAATTTTAGCAGCCGAATTGCCGCGAAGTTTTGATTTATTGACAAGTACGTAAAAGGGATTAGTTTAATGCTATAGACCGATTGTTAAATAGTATTTCTCAATTCAATTCCACTTTTCAATATTTTGTTTAAAGGTAAAGATTAAATAAAAAAATTATTTGTAGCCGAAAAAATGATAAAAATTTAATTTAACTTTTAATAATTTAATTAGGACTAGAATATTATTATTATTCATTTAAAAGTCAAAATATTCTGTAAAATAAATTCTCAGGATTTTTAATTTATTTAATTAGCTACTTAATTTAATTAATTTATTAGATCAATTTCAAAATTTCACTATTCAAGGCCAGAATTTTTGAAAATCATATGGTGGGTTATTGGCATTTCTCCTCGTGAATGCCCTTTATTCAAATACACGCAAAGACATGTGTCTCTAATGATTGATTATTTTGTAAACCACGAGTATTATTACGAGGCAAGAGAAAGTAAGTCTCTCTTATTTAAGAAAGTAAGAGAGCGACTTAAGAAAGTAAGAGAGAGAAAGAATTTTTCTAAGAGAAAAAGTTTTCTCTAACTAATCAAGCATTCAGAGGCACAGTTTTCGGGTCTGACCGATGTTCAAGACATTTCTAGTGTTTTTTTACTAAGCCTTTGCTTTTTATTTTCGAGCTTGACTCGATATTCGGACAGTGTAGGGTTATTTTAACCGATTATATAATATCTTTAGAAAAGTTATTTAACTTCATAAAGTATAGATTTATAAATTTAAGTCTTGAAACTTTATCAACTATTGACTCAGTTTTTCTAAATTTTTTTAAGTCGAGCTACCGGGCAGGACTCAAACATACAGAAGGAGAGAGGGAGGAGCTTTGATAAATTTTTTGGCAGACATCTTTAGAAGCGTGCGCTTTACTTTTGCGAAGTTGTCCTTATAAAAGCAAATAACGAGCCATCGAGAGGATTATACAGGAGATAAGAATTTCCACTTACGACCCACTCTTTAAAATAAAATTTTTTAATTCAAGGAAAAATTTTTTTAAATTTTTATATTAATTTAGACAAAAATTCAAAAATGTTACCCAACATTTTTTGGCATTTTTTCATTTTTTATTTTTTTATTTTGTTGCCTACTTTTGAGGCAACGGTGGAACCGTTGGTTAATGTGGTTAATGCTGATGTTTCTTCTGGATTTCATCAAGTTGAAGAAACCGGTATTGACCATCGAAAATCAAAACAAGAGAAGAAAAAAGAAGATAAAAAAGATGAGTTGGAAAACGGTGAAAAAATAGATGAAAATCATTATAAGAAAAAGTTGATAGAAATGATAGAAAAACTTAAAAATGAGGCAGTTAAGAAAGGAAATCAAGACAAGTTTAATGAAACAGCAATGCCATTTATTCAAACTATAACAGATGTAGGCAAAATGCAAAAATGTTTTAACACAGTTATAGAAATAAAAAAGTTTGATAAAGAAATTCTCCAATTTTTTAAAAATGCTCCAATGTTTGAAAATTTTGTAAAATATTTCTACACACGTTTTGAAAACATAAAGAAGATAAAAAAGACGTCGAAAACACTTAAGAAAAATTTTGCGGTTTGTTTATATGTAATTAAGAAGGTGAAAACATTTGAAAAGAGGGGTTTTAAGGAATAATAAAAAATAAAGAGGAAGCAACGTTCCCAGTTTTACAGTCGGCTGAGCATTTATACGTTGTCTTTTGCCGAAATGGCTTTTTATCTTAGTTGATCTATTTATTACAAAATTTGAGAATCTTAGTAGGGCAAGAAGCCAAGTTATTTTTTCACATTTTTAGGAACCGACCCGTATTTCGGGTATCTAGAAACAGAACGGATATCCAAACCGAAAAAGTACGGATATCCGGAACGGTTAACCTTTCTCTCAAATAATTACTCCCTTTTTTAAATATCCCTCCAGCGAGAGGTTTATACAATAATTTGCCCAGGGTGATTATTAGTGCATATAAGTTAGTTTATATTGCCAAAGTAATGTTTAATCAGATAACTTATTATGTTTATTTTTAATTGTAAAAAAATTTTTTGATCAAAAAATTTTTAAAGATATTGCAAAAGCATTTGGAAGAATTGAAAAGAAATGACTTTACAAATTTTTTGGATAAAATAGTGATGTGTAACGAAAAAAGTTATCAAAGTATCTGCAAACTTTTCGAACAAAACGTTATTTTAAAAAAATTTTCAAGGCGTTACTGCGAAATTGTGCTTGAATTTTCGGAGAATTATCTTGGCTTAAATTTTGAAAATCCTTTTGTTGAAGATTTGATTAATACATTTAATAGCCAAGCGGATTTGGATAAATTGAAACTGCAAAAGGAAAAAGAAAAAGAAGAATTTAAACTATTTTTTGACGGATTTGAAAAGAGAAAGGACAGCTTTATTAATCGAAGTCTTGTTAAAATAAGTAAAGGAACCAAAAAACTTCGCGAAAATTTGCATTTAACGAAGAAAAATATGAAATATAAAAAATTGGATAAAGTGAGTGAAGGCATTTGAGGATTTTTTTGAGGATTTTTTGAGAGGAGCAAAAATTAAGAACGAGTGAACAAGTTTGTACGTCATCTTTTTAAACATTTCGTTAAATCCAAACATCAACCTTCCTGTATATAATCCCCCTGATTGATTTATCGCTTCTATGAAGCCTATCACGGACTGTTGTTAATAGAAAGAAATTTATTACGAAACTTATTCGTTTCGACAGCTGAACAATCGGAGTTTGCTGACTTTTTTTGGGTAACTTATAACTGATACCAACGACTATCTACTACAGTCCGTTTTTGAAACATGTAAACCTATGAGCTTTTTTAAATCACACTAAATCCTTTTCGACTTTTTCTATTTTTATAAATTGTAAAACGTTACTACATTTGCTGATATAAAATTTGTAAAAATCTAAAGATTTTTTTGCGTCACTGCTGACCCTATTGCGAAAATTATTAATTTACTATGGGGAGGGAGTTCCAAAGCATTGGTCTTCACCTAAAGCCGAAACTTTAAAATTTTAAACTAAAATCTCAAAGCTCTACATAGTTATTTTTAAATTGCACATACATATACATACATTTTTCAATTTTATTTTTTATTGAATTGTACTGTGTTACGGCAACTTCGGAAATAGAAATCAAAAAAGTAAAAAATTAGTGCGAGCCGCCGGTCATATAGTGACAACTGTCGATTTCCAAATGATTTCTAGTTTGATCTTGAATTGTCGTACCACCTATTATATGACATATATCTAAATTTGTTCAACTCATTTTTTGTTTTAGATAAAAGATTTCCATTTTTTTCATTTTTTGTCGAACGGACCGGAGCCAACAAATGGCAAATACCGAGCACTGGTGCTTTATTAAGAATCGGGTCGTAAGGTGCTCGGACGCATGCAAAAAGATCATTTTTGAGAATAACCATAATGGCATATACAGGTTTTCCCAGCCATGTTTCTAATTTTATATAACTACATTTAGCTTTCAAATATTAAATGATTTTAAAGCAATTGTCTTTTAATCAGATGTAAATATATCAAAATTTTCGGTCATCATTTGGCTGACACCACTCATCTTTTTTTGGTTTCCCTGGCTATTTTGATCTTTTTTGCTTCGAAGCTAGGTCGAATTAAACTTTAAAAGGTTAGGTGTGATGATTATGACAAAATTATGAAGCTTAATCCTTGCTTGTAAATGGATTAAAACAGATTGTCATACTTTGCTCGTTTGTGTCAAATCTTGTTAATTTTAGTCCTTCTACTCAGTTTGAAGAGCTTTCGAATGATAGATAATAGGCCATGATAGATAATATGGACTAAAAAATGGGGGTCAGCCAAAGTATTTACAACTTATCTTTAAAAAACGTTTTTCATATCCTTCACATATATTTACGGTTAGAATTTTTACATAATTATACAGCATTTGCAACATTCATCTTCTTCCTTGGTTTCCTTTGTTTCCACTTCTTCCTTTTCCTCATCAATTGTTTCCATATCAACCCGTTCGGTTCTAGCGCCTTGGCGACGGTTCCTTCCAGATCTTCGACGATACCCGCGTGGGCCTGATCGGATATCTTCCTCTCCCTTAAATTTAGCACTTATAATTATAAACATGTTTTAATAAAAACGCTAAAATTTTAAATGAAAATTTTTAAATTTTTGATAAACAATTACATCATCTCCATCATATCCACCGTTATCTCCTACAGCCTGTTCATCATCATCAGGGTCGGAAAGATTTTCAGCATGTATTTCTCCAAGTTCAATGTCCCTTTCAGCTGGTACCATTGACAAGGCGAAGTTCACGCCAAGAATTATCAACAAAGTTGTTATCAACAAAAACTTGTTCATCTAAAAAAAAGGTGGAATTTTAATAGAAATATGAGGTTTCTTCTTAATTATAATTAATTTTAAACAAAAAATAAAATATGTATATAAGTTACTCAGAAGTTAAATAAATAAATTTTAAATACTTTCTATTATAAAATTTATTAAAATGCTTGTCTGATTGACAATTAATAAATTAATTAAATTAAAAATAAAAAATTAATAAATTTATTAGAATTAATGAATTCTTAACACTGCCGGCAATTTAAATTACCCCCCCCCTCTCCTTCACTCCCCTCTCTCTCTCTCCACTCATTAAGGGAGAGTGAAAATGAGGGAGAAAGAGACTTTATTTTATTGACAAATCCTCTCCATATCTTTGCCTGCAATTTAAATTACCCCCCCCCTCTCCTTCACTCCCCTCTCTCTCTCTCCACTCATTAAGGGAGAGTGAAAATGAGGGAGAAAGAGACTTTATTTTATTGACAAATCCTCTCCATATCTTTGCCTGCAATTTAAATTACCCCCCCCCCCTCCTTCACTCCCCTCCCTCTCTCCATCTTGGTAAGGGATAGCGAGAATGAGGAAGAAATAGACTTTATTTTATTGACAAATCCTCTCCATATCTTTGCCAGCAATTTAAATTACCTCCACATCTTCTCTCTCCTCTCTTCCTCCCTCTCTCCATCTTGGTAAGTGATAGCGAAAATGAGGGAGAATGAGACTTTATTTTATTGACAAATCTCTCCATATATTTGCCAGCAATTTAAATTACCCCCCCCCCTCCTCTCTTCCTCCCTCCTTAAGAGATAGCGAAAATGCGACTGATGAGAGAGAATATAATGAGAGATTATTCATGGGCAAAGATGGAGAGATATTGATTTAAGTTTTACAGGTTTCTTATCGTAAAATTAAAACATGTTTACAGTTTTTTTCCTTTCAACAACATCAAAAACATAATATGAAAACAAATTCGAATACACGCATTTTCAAATAGATTTTTTAAATGTCCTAAAAATGACAAAAAATCACATAATTTCTATTACGAATAAACTGCTGATAAAGCTGAAAAGTGTATTGTTCAATATACAAACACAGATAGTGCCGAGAACAGATTGTGAGGTAAATATTAGGTAAAGGGTGGAAGTTATAATGTTTTAAGTTATGCACAGTTTGTTTAATTTTTCCTTCAACTAATACAAAGGATTATTTTGCGGCTAACAGCGAGCAAAAATCTTATGTTGATGGACTGATGTTTTATCATTACAACATTTGCCTCCTACATAGGATCCCTTGATTTTCGTGGGTGTATAAAACAAAATGAATAAAACCATTATTTACGGGAATCATTAAGTGTGATCCGACAACTGGATCTTCCAGTAGAATTCATCCATTGTTCAAAAGACAGCATCCTACTTTTGAAGGTATTACTGACAGCCGGCAACTTAATCCTTTAAATACTTTTTTAAGTTAAATCCTTTTTAATTTTTTCTATAAGGGTAATGGATATACTTAATCTTTTAATGCTTTAACCTAACCAAAAAGGATAATTAGATAATATTTCCATAATTTTAATTATTAATATCTAAATATATTTTAATTTTAAAAAATAGGATTAAAGTACTTTTTTCCCATGCAATTATGTTTGTTTATATTTAATTATTGGGAAATATGATCGATGAGTTCAACATAATAGTAATCTATTTCTTTATTTAATTGTAGAATATGTTTCTCTACATAAAAATTATGGGAAAAGAGACATATGTCTGTTGTTTTTACCATTTTTCAAATACTTTTGAGGAAAAGATTATTGACCCAAACAACTAACTAGCATTTTTTATTAAAAAAACTCATATTTTTTATTTCTTCATCACTTTTTCATTTAATTATATTTTTTAGTATTAAATATTTTTTTGATTATAAGTTTTAATTTTTAAAAATGTCTAAATCAACTAATAAAAAAAGAACATCTTATAAATACATATCACCTACTCCATCTCATTGTTTAATTCGATCCTCACCGCAGAATTTTTCATCTCCTTGATTAATTCAATCAACTTCAAATAGTAATTTGTTTATATATAAATTATATATAGGCATATATGTATAATTTAAAATAACAATAATTGAAGACGAAGAAAATTGTGAGATTCAACAATAATCAATTAATTCAATTAACCAACAATTAAATAATAATAATTTAAATGATTTGAATAATTAACAACTATTAATAATTCAACACAATTTTATTAAACGTCTCTAGTATTAATGGTAAGTTTTTTATTCATATTCTTTATTTTATTTTAAGAATATGAAATAATACAAGTATTTACAAAATGTAATTTTGTTTTGTGCTAAATAGCTTCCGTTTATACATAAAATGAATTGGCTCATGTTCCTGAAGCCGACTACCAACATATATCAAGTCATTTTATTATGATATTTAGTATTTTTCATGAATAATAAAATAAATTTTAGCAGCCAAATTGTCGCGAAGTTTTGAGTGATTGAAAAGTACATAAAAAGGATTAGGTTAATGCCACAGACCGATAGTTAACTTGTTATTTCACAATGCAATTCCACTTTTCATTATTTTGTTCAAGTTCAGGATTAAATAAAGAAAGTTATTTGTAGCCGGAAAAAGGATAAAAATTTAATTTAACTTTTAATAATTTAATTAGGACTAGAATATTAATATTATTAATTTAAAAGTCAAAATATTAAGTAAAATAAACTTTCAAGGATTTTTAATTAATTAAATTAGCTACTTAATTTAATTAATTTATTAGATCAATTTCAAAATTTACCTATTCAAGGCCAGAATTTTGGAAAATCATATGGTGGGTTATTGGCATTCTCCTCGTGAATGCCCTTTATTCAAATACACGCAAAGACATGTGTCTCTAATGATTGATTATTTTGTAAACCACGAGTATTATTACGAGGCAAGAGAAAGTAAGTAACTCTTATTTAAGAAAGTAAGAGAGAGACTTAAGAAAGTAAGAGAGAGAAAGAATTCTAAGAGAAAAAGTTTTCTCTAACTAATCAAGCATTCAGAGGCACAGTTTTCGGGTCTGACCGACGTTCAAGACATTTCTAGTGTCTTTTTACTAAGCCTTTGCTTTTTATTTTCGAGCTTGACTCGATATTCGGACAGTGTAGGGTTATTTTAACCGATTATATAATATCTTTAGAAAAGTTATTTAACTTCATAAAGTATAG